GCGGTGCGGAGTGGGCCAGGCGGCCCGCTGGACCGAACGAAGACGGAGACGAGCGGAGCGGGCCGATTGTGATGGCAGCGGCCGCGGACTTCCCCGCCGACGACAGGAGGCCTGCGGATGAACTGCACGCCGCCCAGCGATATGTGTCATTATTGCCGAAATGTCGCGCATCGCGCATCGCGCACGCCCTCCAGTCGGCCTTCCCTGTTTCCGGAACGTTCCTGGGAGATTGCAATTCGAGGAAGGCCTGTGAGGCGTGCCGTGGCGCGGCGCTTCGTGCCGCGAGGAGCGGCGGGGAGGGGCGGCCGGCAATGAATGGCGTGCACCTTCGACGCCGTGGTCGCGGTGGCCCCGCCCCGCCCCGCCGGGCCGCTTGACTGAGCCGCTGCCTGTAATCGACGGGGTGTTCCGCGGCGTCCCCTCCCTTCTCGCGGACAGCCTTGCATGCGATGCGTGGCATGCAGTGTCCCACTATGGATGGACTCCGAAGGGCGAACGCCCCACCCCGCCCCACCCCACCGCGCACACGGACTGTGGCACTGGATGCATGGCTGCCCCGATTTCCTGCCAGTGTGTTTCCCGCGCTCCGAGGTCACTGCATGTCACACAGGGCGCCCGGCAGACGGACAGCTACACGGACAGCCCGGCACTTCTTTTGGGACTGGCGGGGCCGGTGTGGGAAGACGCGGAGGGCGACGCGGCCCGGAGTCTCTCCCGCGGCCACCGAGGCGGCGTGCGGCAACCACCGCGGCAACCACCGCGGCACCCCGCCCCCGCCCACCCTTGACCCGCCGCGGTTGCGACAACCGCCGCCGCCGAGGGACTGGACGCCCTACACTGCAGGCTGTCTCCGAAGAGTGCTTCGTCGCTCTGTCTCCGTCGCGCCTGGACATGACGTCCAAGGGGAGTGAGAGAGACACTAAGCGGATCGGAATCAGCCTAAAGCGGGCTGCTGGCGGGTTCCAGGCGGGTTCCGGGCGGATTCCAGGCGGATTCCAGGCGGGTTCCAGGCGGGTCCCAGGCGGGCTGCAGGACGGGCTCGCCGCTGGCCACTTGCTGACGAGGATGCTACAGATACGTCCCTGGCGAGGCGAGCGTCCTTGGCGCTCCTCGACGCGACGCGACTTGGACGGGGAGTCGCCGCGCACGACCACGACGGCCACGCCTGGCACGCCCGGGGCCCCGTCGCCACACTCTCAAACGACTACTATTTGTGTCCGCGGGACGTGACGACGTGACTGGTGACACCTGCCGACCGATTTCGGAGGATCGTTCCTTCGCTCTGTCTCTCTCGCACCCCGACGGGACGCCCCAGGAGTGCGAGAGAGACAGAGCCGGCTGTCTGCTGGCAGCTCGCGTTGCGCCCGGACGGCCACAGGTGGCAAATACCAACCCCTCCGACGTCGTCGACACACTGCATGCGCAACACAGCGAGGCGATTCCACAGTGGCGTGGCACGTCACGATCTGTCTCTCTCGCACCCCTACGGCACGCTTCATGAGTGCGAGAGAGACAGAGCGACAACTGCACGGTTTGCAATGACTAGTAGTAATGCAAGTTCGCGACAACACCGAAAAAAAAACAAAAACACGACGACAAAGCTCGCGTTTTGAATGGATATTCACTTTCGCAGACGACACGCAAAAACTGAAGAAGGAAACGGAGCTGCTTTGCTGCGTCGCCGCGCCCTCCAGCGGGGCGGCCGTGGGGCCGTAGGTGGCCGCGGCGAGGGACCGTGGCGAGCGAGGGACCGCGAGGCGAAACGTGAAGTGTTCCGCCGCCTCAGCAGCCAAGTGCGAAGCTCAGCAGCAGCGCCCCGGGGAAGGGGAAACAACAAGTCGAAATCGAAATCATCGAGGGGAGCGTCGCGTCGTCGTCGCCGTCGTCGCGCCCCTCGCCAGGACCGGAAAGCCGACGGCCGCCGCCGTCCGCCGAATGCGATGCCCGATGCCTCTGCGCGGAAATATCAAAATGTTGTCGACTCATGGCGTGGCCGGCGTGGCCGGCGTAGCAGAAGTCATCAGATAACAAACATGGAAGCCTGTCCGAGCGCGGCGCCGCAACATTTTATATGTGCAAGACGAAGACGGGTTGGGGGCAGGAAGGGGCGGACGAGGACGAGGACGGCCCTTATCACTTCGCCCGAAAATCCCAGTCCCCTCCCTTGAGAAACGCTGGGCACTGCCCGGGCCCAAGTCGGTGCGCGTGTGCGGCGTGTGTGTGAGAGAGAGGGAACACACGCCGAAGGAGACAAAACCTGATGTCCCTCGCTCCCTGCTCGCTCCCCACTCCCCGGGGCCCTGGGCCGTCCTGTCCAGGGTCCTGCGCTCTCGCAATGTGCGTTTGGGTAGCATGGAACTGGTCGTCTTGGCGTTCCAGGGCCAACAGCTATTTATGGCAGCTTTATGTATTTTATGTATTTCTTTTCTCGAGAGTCGTCAAAATCCCCTCCAGCCCCTCCCGTCACCTTTCCCCGACGCGCGAGCCCCAGCAGCCTTCTCGCCCTGCGGTTTTGTGTCGGGGGGGGGGGGGGGGGTGCTTGCCATTTGGTCCTCTGGCTGGCTGGACTCGCGATGCTGTGCACCGGTTTGCTGAGACGGATCCTGTTCCTGATCCGGATTAATTACGACTAGGAAGCGTCTAGGAAGACATTACGACACGCTCGTTAGAGTGACACGACAACAACGTTCCCACGTTCCTTTTTTCATTTTTACATTGTGTAATTTTTCGCGCGCCTGATGAGCTCAAGTGACGCCTCCGGCTCGGCCGGCCCGGCCCGGCACGCTTAGAGGCACGCTCGGCGAGACGAGGCGACGAGGCCACGTTTGGTGAGCTTCGCGGCTTCGCGGCTTCGCAGCTTTGCAGGCCTAGCACTTATCTGAGAAAGCCTTGGGTGGCTGTGGTGGACGTTCGGGCCCGCTGCCGAGCGGTTCCGGAGAATAATCGTTTCGTGGCTCTGTCTCTCTCGCACCCTTGTGGGACGCCCCGTGAGTGCGAGAGAGGCAGAGCGACGGACTCTGTCTGCTGCTCTGCCAGCACCCTTCGCTGACCTAGAGAAACGCCGAAAGGGAAACGCCACCACACTGTGTTATCGCGAGGCGGCGCGAAGCGCGAAAGGCGAAGTGCCGACTGGTGATTCTGTAGTTGTTGTGAGTGAGCTGAACGCGGTTGGGACATTTACAGGAAATAGAGTCACACCCTCCCGGAGTGCATTCCCGCCGGGTGGATAGGCAACCCTTCGTGCGCCTCAGCGCGTTCTCCCCCCCCCCCCTCCTTCCCTTATCACCACAGTGGGTAGGAACGAAGAGGAATGCTCCTGCTTTACACGAGGCTTAAAATTTTCTCCTTGAATCTGAATAAATACATTTTTGTTTTGCTGTAAATTAAATACAGAGAGTCTCTCGTTCCAGCCCTCCCCCTCCGCACCCCATTTGACGCCTTCGGTGCTTTTCGGCTTGGGCGGCTCGGCCCGCCGTCTCGAAAATGGAAACACGGCCATTTCCATCTTCCATCTCGTCCAGAGATGTGAACATTGTTGAGCCCGCAGCCCGCAGCGTCGTCGGGGTGTCGTCAGGAAAACAAGGAGCAAAAGAAACGGCAGGGGGAGGACGCGGCGGCGCGACAGAGATGCAAGACGAGACGAAGACACTGGTAGACGGCGCGCGGCGCGCGGATTGGACGGCGTTAGTTCGGGCTCCGCCCCCCAGGCACCGCGCGGCGCTGCAGTCGCGACGAGGGAACCGGCAGGCAGCGGCCGGCACCGCGCCCGCGCTGTGGCTGTGGTGTTCGTTCGTTCGTTCAGTAGGCTAGCAGCAACCGACCAGGACGGACGGTGCGCGGTCGTGTTTCGGTTTCGGTTTCTGTTTGTGGCACCTAGCAGAATCCTTTGGCTGTCGAAGGAAAAAGTGGTCTTGTATTTTGATCTTGAAAATAAAAGTCACGTTGCCTTCGATCAACAAAGTGTTACATCAAGCATAGAAAGTGTGTGAAAAATCAGTGTCATTCCTGTGAAGTGTTGTTCAGTGAAGAATAAGTCTGTTCAATTGTGATTGACAACAGACACAACGAGTGACAAGTGATTTTGTGCTTTGGAAGACAAAGGATTAACAAAATATCTGAAAACGGCGCAGTTATGTCAGCTGCCGTCATGTCGTCATCGGTGTACGATTTTGGAGACACCCTATTAAAGGTAAGAATTTTAACCCCCAGCCGGGCAGTTGTATTGAACACCCCGCTTGGTAACCTCAAAGCGTCGCGTTCGCTTCAGGCAGACTGTTATGTCATGCCGGCTCGCCAGACGCACGTCCCGTATGGCAAGACTTATTTCCTTACAATGACAACCCCGTCTATTCCGCCTTGTGTAACAGTTGGCCTGTTCTGATCGTTCATTTTCCATTTCCCTTTCCCCGCCCCCGCCGTGGCAGTGCCGTGGCAGTGCCGTGGCAGGCTGCGACCTGTTGAAGGCATGATCGCCCGGACCGCCAACAGGTGTCTCTCTCTCACTCGCACTCGCTGTGTTTGCGCACGTTGCTCGCAGCTGCGGCCCGCATTTTTGGGCGGCAGCAGGGCGGCCGTTGCCGTTTTCGCGTGTAGTGGTGGTTTATGACTCTCCGCTCCTCTCCCTCCAGTGGCGGTGCAGTGGCGGTGCGCGGTGCCGGCACTGCTTTGACCCGCCGTGCCGCCGTACCCCAAAGCAAACGCCGCCTTTTCTGCCTTTTCTCGACGCGCCTCTCCTTGCATTTGCACCCTTGCTCCTGATTGGCTGCCGCGCTTACCGCGTCGCGTCGTGCGTGTGCGCTTCTATCCTAAAATCACCTCCACCCGCAAGCTCTAGTTTTCACAGTGCGCTGTGTAATGGTCGCTTTGTTTCTCTGTCCGCCGCGTATAAAAACGGCGCTTAGCCTTTTTTCGATGATTGCCAGCGCGGTGTAACGTCGCGCCCGAGTGAAAGAGAAACCAAACTGACTGTGCAGTTTCCTGCAGGCTGTGATTTGCTGGCTGGCGCTCGGGGTGAGGTGGCGTCACCGTTGGCATAACCCGGAGCAGGCGCACTGTTTGAATTTCAAGCTGGGGCGCCGCGCCGGCCGGTGTGTGTGGTGGAATGGGAAGGGTGTAACGCACAGCGCCTCGCAGTGGCGTGGTTTGAATTTGAATTTGGCGCCGGCTTGTGGTGGTGCACTGTAAAGGGCGCTGAACCGTGTTCAGTGTTCAGCACCTCCTGCCGGCACGCCGGATTTGAATCGAAACGGCGCCAACCAGTGTGGCAGCACTCTGCGCTGTGCGCCTGGGAGCGTGGCGGGGGGCGTACTGTATTGTTCTTGTCCCCCCGGCACGGCACGGCGCGGCGAGGCACGGTCGGCCCAAAACGCGTTTCGTCACCGGCGAGGGAAAAACATAAAAATAAAAATACGGTGCGCGAACAATCTAGCAGTTGCCAAAGCCCTCGCCTTTCCCAATCGAGTCCGAAGTCGCGCGGCGGGCGTTTCGCACTTTACGAACCTCGGGCCGTGCCAGGGCGCCGCGCAAATGCCACTCACTCCGGGCACCATGTCGGCACTATGGGTGCGTTATGTCAGCACACTGACTCCGAAAGTCGTTTGGTCGTCGCTCTGCCTCTGTCGCACTCGCGGGGCGTCCCGTAGGGCCGCGAGAGAGAGAGCCTTCAGAGTCGCGGGGCAGCGCGTTGTTCTTTTACGAGCGTGGACCCCGTTGGTACTCGAACCCGAGGCGCGCGGCGTGGGCGAGGCCTAGCCGGCGGGGCGGCTGGCCACCGCTGGCAACTTGCGGAGGTGTGAAACAGTGCAACGCTCCGACGGCGTGCCGAGGCGACGCGCTGCGACGCGCGCGACGCGCCGACGCCCCCTCGGCCGGCGCTGCTGCCCATGATTCATCCGACGTTCAATTGACATTTGCCCGAGTGTCGGCCGTGGCTGGCGGCAGTGCGGATAGGACGACCAGCCGGGACGGCCGGCCGGGCTGTCCGCGGGGTCGGCGACGGCCGCCCATCATCTTGCCCTCCACGCCGCGCCCCTCCGCCCCCGGGGCTTCTGGGAACCCCGGCGTGCCGCGGAACCCGCCGACCTCGCCGAGTTCTTGGGCCCCGCGAGGGGACCGTGAGGGAACCGCACGGCGCGGCTACGTCGGGTACACTGGCCCGGTTCCCGCTTTTCGGCGCGTACTGCTTGCTGTACTCGCGCACCGCGCCGTCGAGTGTTTTGTTTGCGCTGATAAGCACGGCGACGTTGCCGCGCTCGCCGGGGTCCCCGCGCGCACCGCCCCCGCCGCGGGCCGCGGCCGCAGGTCGACGGACTGCCCAGGTCACCCGAGGCGCCGGGGCCGGGCCACCGGGTGCTAGCCGTCACCATGACCGTCACCGCGCACCTCGCCTTGGCCGGCGAAGCCTCACTCGGCGGAGTGGACACGGCGCGCCTCCGAAAAGTAAATCCCCTTTCAAATTTCAACGTCCCCCTTTTGTTGAAAAATGCGTCCGGGAGAACGACCAGGCGATGAACATGTGTAGGGGACCGCCAGGACACTGTCAGGACGATGGTCGCGCTCGCTCGGGCGGCTCGGCCGGGATGGAGGTCAATGGTTGTCCTGCACTCATTATGCCGGCAAGTGCCCCGCTTGCCCTGCTCTGCCTGGCCTGCTCTCCAGGCGGCCGGTCGGTCACCGACGCGTCCAACACGTGTGCGCCCGTGTGTTGGAGAGAGAGTCAGTGTTGTTGTGTCCTCCTGCTCGCTGCCCTTCGCAATGGATGTCAGCGCGCGGAGTCTTCTTGGAAGTGACGCGACAACAATGAACACACTCACACACACACGTATGTACGCGCACACACATGCGTCGGAGCTAATTTGTGAATGGCATTGGCGGAGTATCGGTCACGCTGCGCGCGCGCTCACACACACACACTACACTGTACCACACACACACACACGCAGTCACACACTCGCGTTACGCCACGGCTCGGCCGTTGTCGAGCGCGCGCAAACTGGCGGCATTCCGGTCGCGTTTCGAGTCTTGTTTTGAAAGGCGCGCTCGGCCGGGGGCGTTGCAACGCGTCGCGGGTCGTTGCCTGGCGGTCGCCGTTGGACGTTAGTGTTCCAAAGTTACGAAAACGGGTCCATTTCTTTAGACGTACCTATGGACCGGCTAGGGATTTTCAAACACTTGTTGGCCGTGACGCGCTGCGCCCTCGGCTCCGCCCCTACACTGTGTTTATCAGTGCAGGCGCCCGGGCCGCGGACCGCATGGCGTCACTAGCGTCACGGCTGGAGCGCGGCGGTGGGCCGTGGCGGGGCGTACGGGCGAACCCGCCTCAAAGTGCGGACTCTGTCGGGCTGGCAGACTCCCCCCCCCCCCCTCGCGCCCCGAGTCCAGCCGAACTGTCTACGCGAGGTGGCCGATAGCGGCACATCCGGTCGCGCTTATCGCGAGTACACTGTCGCGGTTCTAGAGCGGGCCCCGCTGCCGCCTTGGCCGCCGCCGCCCTTTCCAGTGTACGAAAATAGTTGCGACCGAGATAAGCGTCGTGGACACGCCGCCGAAAAGGAGCGATTGGGAGACGACGCGTGCGCGCTTTTCCTGACCTCGTTCTCGGCCCGCTTGTTGTGCTGGGGATGCTGCTGCTGGCTGGAGCGCATCGCGCCACGTCGCGCCGCATGGGGTCGCCGGGTCGTCGAATGTGTGCAGAACTGTCGTGGAGAAAAACAGGCCCCCAAAAAAAGGGGGCTGGGCTGCATCTCAAGGCGGGGGAGGGGGCGGGGGAGGGGGCGGGGGAGGGCTAGACAAAGAGACTGGGGGCGCTCCTGGGGAGCTTTTCGTTTCGTATAATAGCCGGCCCGTCGAGGAGGTGCGGCTGGTGCGGCTCCCCCCTCCCCCCACCCCCTCCGGACCCTCATCCCCTTGACCCGACTCACTGTTGTCTTCCCTGCTGGAGTGCTCCCCTCCCCCCTCCCCCTTTTTCCAAAGGTTAGGTCAGGGTCCAGGGGGGATTTTATTGCGACAATAGAGAACTCTGCGGCTGTTGACTAGGATCAGGTGCCTGGCGAGGTGGATAGGGGAAGGCTGCACCTGTGAATGGTGTTGAGAATCCTCAGACATGTGCAGTGCGTGGATGTGTGCGCGCGCTCGCGCGCGCAAGAGGGGGGGGAGGGAAAATCACATCTCGTCTCTGCAGCCTACTGCAGCTTCCCCGGCTGCGGCGTATATTATTTTTGAGAGGACATTACGACGCGCACCGCAGTTATCAAGTCTTATAACTTTATTTTTGGTCCTTTTTCTCTTTTTTCGGCCCCGACCACCGCCTCGACTGCGCGCGGCCATTTGAGTTCCCTTTCTTATTTTGGCGCCGGTTTGCCGCTCGGGCATTTAAGTCTCTGCGTGCGTCGCGTCCCTGCCATGGGAATAAATGTCCGTCATTGTCATCGACATGCACATGTTGTGGGGGGCGGGGTTAATGTTGCCTGACCTGGCTGCCTGCCTGCCTGTGTGGCGGGGGCTCCTGCCGGGCGTGGTCTGGCTGCCAGCCCTGCCAGCACTGCCAGCCCTTTACGCTTTTTGCCGAGTGTTTCGCCTCGCCCCTACCCTTTCCGTCGCACAGGGTGCTCCGGCAGCGGGACGAACGTCGCCGACGTGGACCTGCCCGGGGTGCCCGGTGACGTCGACGGGCTCGTCCGTGAGTCCTTGGGCGGCGCTGACGCCAGCAACGCCAGCGGTGGCGCCAGCGCGTTGTTCTCTGCTCTCCCCCGCCAGTCTGATGACCCCAAGGCCTTTGTGGCGCTGCTGCTGCTTGTTGTCTTGCTGCGCTTCCGACCCCCCCCCCCCCGCACCTTTTGGCAGGCGAGTCCCGTGACTCATTGTGGCGCCCCGAGTGTCATCCCTTTTCCCTTTCATGTCGGAGGCCGAAGGGCGACGGCCCGACGACGGCCCGAAGGACGGCCGAGTGGTGGGAATTTTGGCTGGCGGCCTCTCTCCGGTAAAAACCGAAACAGGCTTATGACTGTGCGGGAGGCCGTCCACCTCACGTCGCTGACCGCCGCCGCCGCAGCTGACTTCGTCATGTTGGTTGCCTGAAGCTTTCTGTCGAAGTCTCTGTCAGGTTGTGGCGGCAGTGCCTGGCCGCCGCTTCGGAGACGCTCCGGAGACACTTGGGAGCAGTCCGGCTTGGGAGCTGCTTTTGCTTTTTGG